AGATGTGTATAAGAGCAGGTGCGTGTGTGTGTGTGTGTGTGTGTGAAACATATCAATATATAAAATAATAAAAAATAAGTTTTGAAAAAATACCAAACCTTAAAATATTCCCATTTCTTGGGATTATTTCCACTTTTGTTATTATGATCCACTATAGATTTATATGTCCGTTTTAAGGCTTGTAATTTTGTAGAGCATTTTAAACTTGTAACTTTATATCCTTTCTCTTGCATAGCATTAGCAATTATCTGCCAACATTTTTTCATTGTATACATTCCATTCCCAAATTTATCTTTACGTTCGTCATATATATTTAATAATAATAAAGTTTCTTCTTTAGTCCAGAGGTGTGTACCTATTAGCAATTAGAGAACTACTTTAAACATTTAAAATTACTTTTTAGAAATTACCTATTTTATATTCATATAGATGTAGAACATAGTATCGTTAAAAATATATCAATATTTTGATTTTAAGAAAGACTTAAAACTTTCTCATGGTTTTAAAAAAAGAAAGAGAAAACTTTTAAGCTTTGCTTAAAATTAAAATAATATTGGTGCAATCAAGTATAAGAGTATTACTACAGTAATTTTAGGTTAGGTTATGTTAAGTTATAATTAATGTTTAAATTACCTTCCATACATTCATCAGAATTGCTCTTAGCGCTACTAGTACTTGCTAAAAATATTTAACATTAATTATTTTTATTAGAAACAAATTAATACAAAGGCTGAAAGCCACACTAGATGTTTGTGCTGTTGTAAATATGTAATAATATAACAAATTACATAAGTAAATAATAATTATTATAAGTTATTATTATGACCGCAATAAGGATCAAAACATCTAGTAATAATTATTAGTCAGTTAATGTTTAGTTTACCTTCCATGCGTATCTCATTAGCACTGGTATTACTGGTACTACTGGTATTGGCTGAAACTAATAATAAAATTAATGAATATCATTTTTTTTATTCATTATATAAATAAATTTTTGTTAATTAGTTTACCTTCCGTACATTCATCAGTGCTATTCCTAAGCATAGCATTTGGTATGCTTTCGTTATTGGTATTGGCTGAAACAGGTAAAATAATTAAAGAGATTTAATTAATATTAATATTTATTGACCATTTTTATTCATTATATATATATTTATATATAAAATTTAATTGTAATTACCTTTACGTTTATTGGTAGCAACTTGTGTATTGGTAGCATATTGTGTATTCACAAGTTGTCTAATGCTATTTTTTTTTACTTGTTCAAGCAGTAGTGTAGCAAAATTTATATCTGTAAAAGAAATAAAGACAGTATTCATATTTATGAAAACATCGAGATTAGTAATTGCAATTTTACCTATTCGTGCTTTTTTCGCATCCTCATTGCTAACGATAATTTCATACTCCATATTTGACTCTACGTCTACAAGTGTCAACTCTACGGACGTCGCCATGTTTTTACTGCAACTGCCTCACCTCGCCAGCCGCAGTAATCGAAGCAGGACGTGACGACAAAATCTATGACGTCATATGCACGCGAAAGCACTTTGAAAGTTTACTGCGACGTATATCGGAACAGCATTTGCAGTGCTGCCAGTACTTGCAGTGAATATCGGAACGCACCCACAGACGCATCATGCAACGCACACACGCATCCACGAACGCATCCACGCACGCAAACATGTTATCCATCCAGGCATCAATCAATGGACGAACGCAGCCACCGAGTCATCAACGCACGCACAAATCCGCCCACGCACAGACCCATCCGCCCACAAATCGTTCCGCGAGTCAACCAACGCACGCACACAATCACCGACGCATCAACCTGCGCACGCATATCCACCAACGCATCCACCCCAAAAACCTATAATAATTATCAAAAAATTTATATCCTTCATACAATACTTTTCAAGATTTTACCTTGAATATATACCTGTTACTTTTAACAATTTTATCTTTTTTATTTATTTGTTAAAATATCACATAATAATAATTTTTCATTTAACTAAGTTACATCATATTAGATTAAATAATTTGTTGATATTTCGAGATATACGAGTTATCGATTTAACATGCATACATAATACATGCGACATAATATCATATTCGAGTAAATAAATTTTAATTTAATCTGATGCAAATTAATCAAATATATTATATAATGTGTTACATTTTACTAAGTTACATGTTACACATGTGACACATATGATGTAATGTAACATGATGTAACTTAATTATTTCATATTATTTATGTAACTAAATTACGTCAAAATATCATAATAATAATAATTATTTAATAATATAATATAATTATTATAATAATATAATATTATAATAATTATTTCATAATATAATATTTTAATAATATTAATTAATAATATTTATTTATTTTTAAAATAAATTTCATTTGTAACCTTGAAAATTTTATTAATTTAGTTTAACCGTCGTATCCAAGCACACCCAACTCCAGCATACACCTGCGATTTCCCCCACAAATCCACCCAAGCATCTACACACGCATCCAACCTAGCATGGACGCAGCCACAGACGTAGGGACTCAATTATGCGTGCCACGTGGGCTGGGAAGGCCAACTGGCCCATATGCAACAATGGATCTCCTGCAACTGATATTCGTCATAATTGGCAAAGTACTTGCGAGCGTGCTTCACAGCATCTAGCCGCCTATCAGTTCGCTAAATTCGACTAATTCGATAAATTCCTGCACGCGCAAATTGAACTCCATAGTACTGCCTAGTTTTCGTAACTTTGAGCGATTATCATGGCACCAACCGATGCATTTCGCGGTTTCATGATTGGCCAGAGATTTCTCCACCTCTCTCGATACCATAAATACATCTGCAATTGTTATAAGATATTGAAGAGTGGCAGAGAATTTTTTTTCTTGTATTTATAAAATTTTAGAAACTTGATGACTCTAAAAGATATTTTCTCTTGAATTCGTCTGTCTCTCTCTGTCTATTTTTTCAACTCATATATTCGCTCTCATTTTCTTTGTTTTACCTAAATATTATGATGTATGATTTTATTTTTTTTCTTTCTTTTTCTCCTATTAAATATTTTTGTGAAGCTGTAATTTTCTAATATAATTGCAAATTATAATATAAATAATTATAATTATAATTATTTATAATATAAATTTATCGATAACTTTTTTGTACAGAAACGCATATTGACTACGAGGAACCTCAGCGAGGCGGCGGACGACTTGCTTCGATTTGTGAGGAGGAGGGTGAAATAGTAGAAGAGAGGCGAGAGCAGCAGAGAAGGTTCGAGGATGAAGAAACGGATACGGACGAGGAGAAAGGAGAAAATCCGGTCGAGGATTTTAATTATTTAATTTTAATCAGGGAAAATCAGCGACGGTTTCGAAATTTCGCGTGCGTGCGTTGCCGGAGGGAGCCAATGCTTACGAGTGGCTTGAAAACGCGTTTCGCGAAATTCATGCCTATGCGTTACATAACTCCGGAGAGGACGACTACGTAGGATTGTCGTTCAATTCGGCGGATTTAACGCAAGGTCCGGCGGGATTGTCATTTTGACCGGCGCGCGACTTAACTTACGCAGACATCTGGTGCCTCGTAAGTTCGGTAGCACAAAGCGCTGGCGGGCTTGATATCGCGCAGAATTTCAGCGTGAGCGTTTTCAATGTTGAAGCACCCCGAGGTTGCGATTCGCGTATACTCACGAGTGAACACGCGAGGAAACGCTCAATTTTATCAATCGCAAATTCTGATAATTTATGCTTCCCTCGCTCTCTGGTGTGCGCGCAATTAAATCACGAGCGCAGAAGTGTGCACGGGGGCGAACCTGAGGCGAGGTGGAATGCGGTAAGGCGACTAAATTCGGTGTTACAGCGCAGTCTCGCGCAGGATTTGACGGAAAGAGCCGGTGTCGTCATACCGCGTGAAGGATGTAGGATTCGGGAAATTGAATGTTTCCAGCGTTGTCTCGCCGCGGATAATATAGCAATTGTCGTGTATAATGCCGATACTTTCTGTAAGGGCGAGAGACCGTTATTCGACGGGTCCGCGGTACTTAATGCGCTGGGGCATGAACCATCGCATAAATTGAACATCATGTATTACGAATCAGAACGGCATTACAATCCTATTTTATGCTTAAAAGCAGCCGCGCGTAGTAGGAAGGACTTTTGCATACCCTGCAATATAAGTTACAGTTCATCGCTGCACGAACAAATGTACTCTGTGTAATAACATGCCGCCATGCGTTCAAGAAACGGGAAAGAAAATCATTAGGTGCGATACATGTAAGCGTTCGTTTTTCGGAAAAGCGTGTTTCGAACATCATCGCGCGGTAAAATCGTACGACGGTAAAAATCCGACGAGTGTATGCAACGCGATTCGAAATTTTGCGAAAGGTGCAATCGTACGGTAAAAACAGCGAAAAAGCACAAATGCGGTGTTTCTTTTTGCAAAATTTGCAGTGACTCACGGCCTATAAATCATTTGTGCTTTATGCAGTTTCTTTCTCGTGGAAATAGCTCTTCCAATGCTGAAGCCAATGAAAATTCTGTAAACGCGGAAGAGAACGAACAAAATAACACGGCTGCGAGCGAAAAGAAACGGACAACATTTGTGTTTTACGATTTTGAGACGCGTCAAGACGTATCGATCGAGAGCACCGATATTAAAATCCACATTCCACTTTGCGTCGCGCATCAAATTTGTGAATCGTGCGCGGAAGTAGACGACCTCGCGGAACGTTGTAAATAGTACGGCGTGCGCGAATTTATTTTCCGACGTGATCCGGTAAAAGAATTTGTAGAATTCGTGACGCGTTCCGCCAAGAGTTTTAATCGCATCATCTGCATCGCTCACAACGCGAAGGCTTACGACGCGCAATTTATTTTGAAGCATATAGTTGAAAATCACTCGGAATTAAATCCGCGAGTGACGTTAAACGGTACAAAAATTATAGTATTAAGATCG